GTATAGGTCTTCTGGACAGGTTCTTCTCTAATGAAACGTTTCGTCTCTTCTCCAAGAGACTTCTTCAGTCCAAACCAAGCCTTTAGTTCATTTAGAAAGGTGTGTCCCCACGTGTAACCACCTACTGTAGTCAAAAGATACACTAAGTCCCCACAAATGAGGAAAAACACGTATGTGTGTGTGTGTGTGTGTGTGTGTGTGTTTTCTTTCACTAAAAACCAAGGGTCCACCTGAGCATACTCCACACAACAAGCAGCAGCAGAGAGTCACACAGCTTCACCTGCAGTTTGTCTGTTTCTTATCACAATCTCATTACTGGACAGTGTTTGACAAAAATGCCAAGGGGCTGCAGTAGCTGACTGCCAGATTGCCTGTCCCGTCTGCGGGCTCACGTTTAGTAGAGGGAGGAAGCGGGCACGGTGCTGAGGGAAGCTGTGTTTACTCGAACAATACACACGTACCCCAAAACAAAAACACAGGAAACACTGAAACTAGAGCTTCTGCCAAGCTTATTAAAAAAAAGGAAACAAAATATAAACTGACAAAAGCAATTATCATCAAATGAATAAAACTACTTGATTTGACTGTATGCTTGGCTTTGTCCCAGATCATCATTAAGCAAACTGCTAATGATGATTACATTTGATCAAACATCTCTTTGTGTTTGTGTGACTAAAATATATTCCATTTGCTGACCCAAAGGGACACCGTGAGGCATCCGCCCAGTGATTAGGCAGTCTGCATTCAGTATAATGCTTAGGACCCCAGGCTTTCTCAGAACCTTATTTTGAGTATTTTTTTTTATTTCACTTTCATAAAAACAAACAAATTAGATAAAGTGAATGGGGAGTCTGGGATTAATTTTGAAGCAGCTGATTAGGGTGTTTGTGTGTCAGGGGATAATTGTGTCTGGGATGATGCCTAAATAGCCTTCAGGCATTATTGCAGTCAGAGAAAGAGAAACCCCATCATTTCCTTCTGCAATCCATGTCTCCACCAAACGAATCACCATCACACACCCCCACCCATTTGATCTTTACAGTTTTCTGTTGTCTGTAATCAAAACTTAGGGTCTTTTTCCCCCTCTATCCATCATAAGTGGTATACAATTTTTCTAACTTTTTTCTCTACCAAATGTTAGAACCCTGTTACCATATTTACTCATAGCTGTCCTCTCTAATTTTACGTACACTATAGTTTGTTGAAATTTACAGTAGGAAAAGAAAAAAATATGGGAAAATCTTTAATTTTATGAACTTGCCTGGTTATTAGACAGAATTGTACATATGTTTGGAGCAACACTGGTAACTAGTAAACAATACAATGTGCAGAAAAATGAAAATAAAATGAATAGAGTTTTTTTTAAATTAATTTTTATTTGGAAAGGCAAGATACAATCATTTTTATATTCCAGTTTCCACCACAATGGAAGGAAGAAAAGAAATACACAAGCCAATCCAAGGTTTTTGTATAACAACAACAAAAACAAAAGGAGTGAGTGGGGAGGTAGGGAAGGGCCAGGTCTAGTTTTTCTTTCGTTAGAGGTAAAACACAGTCAAGAGCAAACATTTCCCATAATCCTGTGTTAAGGTATAGTAAACAACAAAACAGTGTTTACAAGTAATGGACATATTTAGTCTACTGGAATAATAGACTTTACATAGTTTGTCCATTTAGACCAGATCCTGAAAAAGGATTCTCTCCGACCATGAACAGAAAAAGATAACTTCTCCAGAGTGTAAATGTCCTGTACAATGGAAACCCAATCCTCCACTGTGGGTGTTTCGGGCTTTAACCATTTTCTAGTGATTGTCTTTTTGCTTGCTGCCAGAAGCACTAACAGGAGTTTTTTGTCGTCCAGAGTCCAGTTATCAAATGAAATATTTCCTAAATATAGGGATTCACAATTACATGGGATTCTTTCAGTTAAGATGTTATAACAAAGCTCCAAACAAAGCTGTGTTGTCCACCCGGCCTGTCAGCACTGCACCAACTTGTAGATCACTTATTGAAACAATGCCTCGCTTAAAGTCCTCCTGTCCGAAATCTGGTAAAGGGAGAGATTAAGAGAAAGAATATTAAAAAAAAAGCTGAGGTAGCAATGTGGAATTTGTGGTGATACATAAAAAGAGAAGTATGGGAGGAAGCTAGTAAAAAATGTTTAGGAATGTTGAGGAAATGAAGGGAAATACGAAAATGCTCAGGAGTAGCTGAATACTTCTCTACACACATTGGGCCTCATGCAAGAACCGTTCGTACGCACAGATTTGTTCTTAAGTTGTGCGT